GTATTCCAACCTGGGTGACTGACTGGGTAACAGAGTGAGACTCTGTCTTAAAAAAAAAAAAAGAGGTTAGGGACCAAAGAGATGGATGGTTGTTTGTGCAACCCCATACCTTTGAGCAGAGTACCATCCAGAGCCATGGTGATCACACGTCTGGATCTCGTTGGAAGACTTGCCAACATATATTAGCCCATGGCCCGGCTAGTGCCAAAAAGGAGAAATGTGAGAGCAGAGCTCGTGGCCTCAGACATTTCCAATCTCCATTTGCTTTATTAGTCATGCAGTGGATCCTGACAATTCTGTTTTCACTGTACCTTTCCCTGAACTTTCTGTAGTTTATGGGAAGGTTGTCCTTCCAGAATTTTAATATCCTAATTCCGATGTAAACTTGGTTATTCCCTGGCAACAGAATTCTGCTTCACGACGTTAGCATATCAGTAAATGTATTTATTTATTGGCATTAGCCTCCGTCAATCTACTTTGCTTCAGGTCCAGTAGTAAATGGGATAAGTTGTGCTTTTCTATTTTTCTTTGCTCATTACTGGCATGGGGATCACTATGGTTAGATTAAGCAAAAATAAGAAAATGGCATGGCTCAGAAAATAATCTTAGAAGTTCTAAAGCAATGTTGAAATGGTTAGTTCTACTAATCGAATCCTACCAAATGTTGGAATTAAAGGAGAAATAAACTCTGAACTAGACAAGTTTGTTTAACACTAGATAAATCTCTTTCATGGTTGCAAACATAGAAGAGGGAGATTCTTAGAAAAATAATCTGAAATGTCAAACCAATTTAGCCTCAACTGAGATGAGGAGAGAAGGTGGGAAAGGAGTAGAACCAGTTATCTGAAAAATTATGAAACATGGAGGAGAGGCTGCTTTCTCAGTGGACTTGGTGCAAACTTTGTTTTAGGCACAATATGTCTCTTTAGTATAGCAAGCACTCGATAAATGTTCAATTGAGTTAAACGTCCTGGATTTCCGGTGTTAACATTCACAGAGAAATACAGTGAGGACGGTCAACCTTGCATTTTGAAACAAACAAGCAAAAGCAAGAGCCTGGTTATTTGACTACTGATTTTATTTAAAGACATTTTATTCTTTGTTGATACATATGCTGTGAAGAGAAACTACAGAACGTGGCCATTAAGCCTATTCTTTAAAATAGTTTTACAAGATGGGTTTCAAAAGTTTTATGCCTTGTAGCCAAGCTCCAAGTCAACACCTTGATCAGGATATAATCCCATCACTTTGGAAACTAAAATTTATCCTTGGGAATTGAGGCAAATATCAGACAGTGTAGTAATTGATTCACTTTGTCCTCCTTGTGTGAGTATTAAGGGAGCATTCGCTTTGTCCTAATCCACACTAGTCTCTGTATTAGATATCTGTATTGGAATTTGATTTTGATCAAAACCAGAATCAAATTCTTATGTCAACTTTTTATTATCTAGTTTCGTTCCAGATAAGTCCCAGACCAAGACTGAAAGGCTTTGCAATGTCTTCTCAACCCGCTATTATGCTTCCCTCATTAAAGAAGCGGAACATTTCACTGTAAATTATTTAGAACATCTCCAGTACTCTGAATCATTTCAATCTCATTTTTATTAGCCAAATACATGTATTTGTCGTGATTGTGCTATTAATGACTTTGTAATCTTTTTAATCTTTCCTGAAATCAATTTTTAAAAGTTAACCAACATTCTAAAATTGCACTTTCGCCTTACCAGTGGAAATCAGACCAGCCAAAAGGAGGGCCCGGGTGGAAAACATCTGGGTTGACTTCCTTTATGTTTCTTCCTCTGATTAGAATTGCCACACACTCTCTTTGAAGAATATTCAAGTTTGAATGAGTACTTCCTAGCTAATCAGCCTTAGAATTCTGCATCTCTCATTTCTTTAGCGTGAGACACAAAAAGTATAAGAGAATGGAGAAAGTCAAGTTCTGATATTCCATGGATAGTTGTTTGATTTGCATGTAGGACCTATGTAAAAGCCTTTGATCTGAAGAAGCGGCCAATTATATTGGAAACACTGACTAAATATTAATGGAAAATGATAAGGCTGGGTGCATATTGACAGACTTCTGGGCTGTGGCTTGTAGGAGAATGTTCGTGTGAATGATGGAATGTTTAGTACTGTCTGCTGGTAGATGTATCTTTTATTTCCTTGATAGGACATATTTTGGAAAAAAATTGATTATTAATAATATGTGGCCCCTCATAACATATTCCCTAATATATGCCTTAGGGGTTTTTGAATTATTATTTTAGTTATATTTCATCTGTGTAATATTTGCAAATAACTTTAACATTTTGGTAAAATTGCATGTATTTACCTTAAATATGTGATTTGTAAATGTTTTCTTGTTAATGATAATGGTAAGTTAACACCATTCAAAGCATCCATCGGTAAAGGAAAGAAGATGAATTATGATACAGTCATTGATATGGTTTGGATCTGTGTCCCCACCCAAATCTCACATTCAGTTGTAATCCCCATTGTTGGAGGTGGGGCCTGGTGAGAGGTGATTAGATTACGGGGCCAGCGTTCTCATGAATGGGTTAGCATCAGCCCCTTAGTGCTGTTGTTGTTATAGTGAGTGAGTGAGTTGTGGTGAGATCTGGTTGTTTAAAAGTGTGTAGCATCTCCCCTGTTCTCACTTCCTCCTGCTTCAGCCATGCAAGACCTGCCTGCTTCCCCTTCACCTTCTGCCATGATTGTCAGTTTCCTGAGACCTCCCAAGAAGCCGCCATGATTTCCGTACAGCCTCCAGACCCGTGAGCAAGGTAAATGCCTTTTCTACATACATTACCCAATCTCAGGTATTTCCTTTTTCTTTCTTTCTTTCTTTCTTTTTTTTTTTTTTGGATGAAGTCTTGCTCTGTAACCCAGGCTGGATTCCAGCAGTGTGATCTTGGCTCACTGCAACCTCTGCCTCCTGGTTCAAGCAATTCTCCTGCCTCAGCCTCCCAAGTAGCTGGGACTACAGGTGCCTGCCAGCATGCCCTGCTAATTTTTGTACTTTTTGTTTTTCAGTACAGACAGGGTTTCACCATATTTGTCAGGCTGTTCTTGAACTCCTGAATTTGTGATCCACCTGACTCAGCCTCCCAAAGTTCTGGGATTACAGGCATGAGCCACCGCACCTGGCCAGGTATTTATCTATAGCAATGCGAGAACAGAGTAATACAATCATACAATAGAGTAAAATATAACAACGTAAAAGCAGACCATCTATATGTATAAACAGCTAGATCTTCAAATATACTGTTGAATTAAAAAGCTACTTTTAGAATTATATATAGAGTATCATACCATTTATAATATTTAAAATATGAAAACAAAGAAGTGTATTAATCTTCATAAATGCTGCACATATAATAAAAATGTGCACAGACTGCCTTTAAAATAGTAATTACTTCTGGATAGTGAGAGAAAACCATGGAAGGGTACACAGAGTACATAAACTGTAAAACATTTTATTTCTTAAGAAAAAAGATCAGAAGCAAATAAGCAAAAATATTAATTTGTTAATTATTAGAGATAGACACATGGATGTTATGTTACCCTGTACTTTTCCGGGTACTTCAATTTTCAGTGTATTTCAAATATATGTTAGTAGCTCCTTTTCAGCTTAATATTAGACAAGGATCTGGAATTTTCTATGGAAGCTTCCCCATTTAAATTATGTGTCAGTAGCTGTGGGAGATTGGGATTGTGGTCCCGGTTCTTCACCTTCTCTGTGTCCACACCTTTTCCATGTCTCATGGGGCAAAGGGAACTTTCCTCACCCTTGATTTTGGGTTAAGCTGTGTGGCTTTGACCACTACGATGAGGAAGAAATGGCAGTGGGTGGGGAAAGCCTGGGTCCTCTGGGACCTTAGTCTTTGCGCACTCCTTCCTGTGTTCTGCATCTGAGGCAGATGATCCTGCTGCCCTAGAAAGGCGATGGACGCCATGCAGAGCACGATCGCCCTCGCAGAACAAAGCCTAGCACACCCTATGAATGTGCGGGAGTCACTGGCTGTCATTGGAAGCCACTGAGTTTTTGGATGTATGTTACATAACAATAACTAAAGGATGCCAGTGAGATTATGGACCCAATTGTTTTTGCTTCACATGCAGCCTTTCAAGGATGCATCTAATGTGTACAATGCAGAATGCCAGCATTGAATACACCATGGATCTGAGTCAGTGCACTAAAAGAATAGATAAGTGGAACGAAACAGTTGATTCAGAAATAGACACACATATATTCAGCATGTAGTACACAATAGAAGTACTACTTTAAATGATTAGAGAAAATATACATCGTTGTATTAACAGTATTGAGACAACATCTGGCAAGAAATAAAAGTTCAATCTAGGCCTGGTGGCTCATGCCTGTAATTCTAGTGCTTTGTGAGGCCAGTGCAGGGGGATTGCTTGAGGCCAGGAGTTCAAGGCAAGCCTGGACAACATAGCAAAATCCCATCTCTACGAAAAAATTTTAAAAATTAGCCAGGCATGGTGCACGTGTCATCCCAGCTACTTGGGAGGCTGCAGCAGAAGGAATATTTGAACCCAAGAGTCTGAAGTTACAGTGAGCTATGATCATGCCACTGCACTCCACCCTGAATGAGAGAGTGAGACCCTGTTTCAAGATAAATAAATAAAAGTTCAATCCATATCAAAGTGAACCAAACATTTGTATGCAAAAGGGAAGAAGGAGGAAGAAAAGAAGAAGGAAAAGAGCTGAAACCATAGAAATACTAGGAGAAATTGTGAATGATTCTTAATGGTCATAGGTTAGACTTCTCAAAGAATGTTAAAAAAACCCAGAAGCTATGAAGGAAATATTTGATAAATGCATTGTAACAATAAAAACCTCCTATAAAGCAAACAGTTTCCTGATCAGAGTCAAAAGACAATAATCTGGGAAAAATATCCATAACACATATGATATGACAGATAAGGAACTCATCGCTCTAATTCTTTAAAAAAATAAAAGGTGTAAACAAATTGATAGAAAACATGGGCAAAAGATAGCAACATACTTTCACAAAAGAAAAATACAGATTACCAATATATATTTGCAGATACAGTCCACTTCACTTGAAATTAACAATTGTAAACCAGAATGAGGTGCAGTTTTTCACCTATCAAATTGGCAAAGGGTATGTAGAAACAGACATTTACTGAAAAGTGTTAAGTTGGTTTAACCTCTTTAGAGCACAATTTTGCAATACCCCTCAAATTTTTGAACGCACAAAACCTTTGTTCCAGCAATATCATTGCTTTCCTACCTGTGGCCTGCTTTCCTCCTGTTTTCCCTGTCTTCTGTATTAGCTGTTTCCAATGCACCTTCCTCTGCGAAGCCAGTGCCATTCTCTAAACTGCAGAAAAGATGGCAGGAGACTGTTTTGAAACCCATAAGGGGCTAGGATCTGAGCAAGAGTCATCAATGCTGAAAAACTAATGAGAAACTTTGTGATGGATGGATGGGGCTGATGATACCTAATCAATCTTAATATTATGAAGAGAGAGAAGGAGAGAGTATATCAGACATCTTACACCTCCTGTGGGAAATGGACAACGTAACCTATAAAGTATTCTTGTCAAAACATCAGGCTCAGGTCTTAGAAGGCCGTTAGCTCTAACTATCAGTTTACAGGAATGGTACAGCATGGGGACTCATGTCAAATGTACCACAGGAATGCACTCAGCCAAATGCAGGCTGTAGGAAGTTCTACTGGATAAAGAACCTGGTTTCTTCAACAAATAAATTCTGAGGAAAGGGAAAAAGAGAGAGGGGCAATCTGTGGATTAAAGGAGATTTACAAGATTTATCAACACGTATGGACTTTACTTGGAGTCTGAATCAAATGACGAAATCACAGACAGAGAGAAACAGAGAATAGGGGCATTTTTAACATTAGCATTCATATTAGAAATTATTCTGTGTAATTTTAAGCATGATACATTAGGTTTTTGTAAAAAGTTCCTATCTTTTAAAAATGCATACTGAAACGTTTGTGGATATGAAATCATAGGATGTTTCAGATTTACTTCAGAAATATTTAGAGTTTGGAGAGTAAGTAGCAGATAGATTAAACACAATTGGCTATTAACTGCTAATTACTGAAGCTGGGTAATGAGTTCACAGAAGTTTACTATACTATCCCCTCTAGTTTGTTTATATTTGAAAATTTTCCCATAGTAACAAGTTAGACAAAGACATTTGTTGGCAATATCTTTTGAACATAAAAAGTTCCCACACTGCAAGGAAAAACTGATTTTTCTGTAACTTTGGTAATATTTAGCCACCTATATTTTAAACCATTCAATCAAAAAATTGATCGATTAATTTCCTATTCAATATTCTTTTTAAAAAATAGACCATAATCCCAGCACTTTGGGAGGCCAAGGTGGGAAGATCACCTGAGGTTGGCAGTTTGAGACCAGCCTAACCAACATGGAGAAACCCCATCTCTACTAAAATACAAAATTAGCCTGGTGTGGTGGTGTACGCCTGTAATCCCAGCTATTCGGGAGGCTGAGACAAAAGAATCGCTTGAACCCGAAAGGCTGAGATTTCAGTGAGCCAAGATCATGCTATTGCACTCTAGCCTGGGCAATAAGGGTGAAACTCCATCTCAGAAAAAAGAAAAATTGACCTATGAGGCTGGGTGCGATGGCTCATGCCTATAATCCCAGCACTTTGTGAGTCCAAGGCAGGCAGATCACCTGAGGTCAGCAGTTTGAGACCAGCCTGACCAACAGAGAGAAACCCTGTCTCTGCTAAATATACAAAATTAGCTGGAGGTGGTGGCGAATTCCTTTAATCCCAGGTACTTGGGAGGCTGAGGCAGGAGAATTGCTTGAACCCAGGATGTGGAGGTTGCAGTGAGCCAAGATCATGCCATTGCACTCTAGCCTGGGCAACAAGAGCAAACTCCATCTCAAAAAAAAAAAAAAAAAAAAAATTAGCCAGGCATGGTGGTGCACACCTGTAATCCCAGCTACTCAGGAGGCTGAGGCAGGAGAATCCTTGTATCTGGGAGGCAGAGGTTGCAGTAAGCTGAGATCGTGCCACTGCACTCCAGCCTGGGCAACAGAGCAAGAATCCGTCTAAAAGAAAAAAAAAATAGACCAATGAGTGGATAAACAAACTGTGATATAGACATACAATGAAATACTATTCAGCCTGAAAAAGCAAGGAGATTCTGACACCTGCTACTACATGGATCAATGTTGTTATGAACATTGTGATAAGTGAGATAAGCCAGACACAAAAGGACACATCCTGTATGGTTCCACTTACATGAGGTCCCCAGAGTAGTCAAACTTGTAGCGACAGAAAGTAAAATGGTGGTTTCCAGGGCCTGAGGGGAGAGGAACCGGAAGTGAGTGTTCAATGGGTGCGGAGTTTCAGTTGGAGAATGTGAAAAAGTTCTGTGGATGGGTAGTGGTGACGGTTGCACAACAAAGCAAATGTACTTAATGCCACTGAACTGCACATTTCAACACGGTTAAGATGCTACGTTTCAGGCGGGTGTGGTGGCTCACGCCTCTAATCCCTGCACTTAGGAAGGCTGACGTGGGAGGATAGCTTCAGTTTAGGAGTTCATACAAACCACAGTGTTTCCATTATTCATGTTAAAAAGAAAATTAAAAAAATAGGAGTTTAAAACCATCCTGGGGCCAGTCACAGTAGCTCATGCCTGTAATTCCAGCACTTTGGGAGGCCAAGGCAGGTGGATCACCTGAGGTCAGGAGTTCGAGACCACCCTGGTCAACATGGTGAAACCCTGTCCCTGCTAAAAATACAAAAATTAGCCTGGTGTGGTGGTGGGTGCCTATAATTCCAGCTACCCAGGAGGCTGAGGCAGGAGAATTGCTTGAACCCAGGAGGCAGAGGTTGCAGTGAGTGAAGATCGCACTATTTCACTCTAGCCTGGGCAAAAGAGCAAAATTCTGTCTTAGAAAAAAACCCAAAAAATGAAACAGCCTGGGTAACACAATGAAACCTTGACTCTACAAGAAAATACAAAATGTAAAATTAGCTGGGCATGTTGGCATGCACCTGTAGTCCCAGCTACTTCAGAAGCTGAGGTGGGAGGATGATTTGAGTCCAGGTGGTGCAGGCTACAGTAAGCCGAGGTGGTTCCACTGTACTCCAGCCTTGGCGACACAGTGAGACCCTATCTCAAAAAAAATGATATAACACGTTTTAGGTACATATAACACACACACAGACCACACACACACACACACACACACACACACACACACACACACAGCCCAGTGCAGGATGAACCAGAAGAGAGCTGCTTTGTTCCATATGAATGACTAAGAGTGATGATGCTGTCCTCCGAGACAGGAAGCAGACCAGGTGAGCTGGTTTGTAACTTGAAAAATATTTCCAAAACGTTGAGGTTTACTAGCTGAGGTAGAAAAATTCTCCAAATTCTAGGTCCAGTGTTTACTTCGTGTTTATAATTCAGGCCTCATGAATATGAAATAAAACCAAAATGGCCCAGTGCCTGGAAAACAGGTAATCCTCTGAACACCGTGGGCTACAGATGGTGTTTACAGTGACTGTGGTACTAAAGCAGAGTTCTCTTGTGTGAAATTTTCTTTTTAAAACAGAGCCATCATTTTAATATGCACCTAAGAACATTTATATACATTGTATAATTATATACAATTATTTGCTGTCCAGGGGCAGTGGTAACCCTAGAAGTTTGGGACACTGAGGGAGGAGGATCACCTGAGGCCAGGAATTCCCAAATAGCCTGGACGACAAACTGAGGACCCATTTCTATTAAAAAAAAAAAAAGAAAGAAAGAAAGAAAGAAAAAAGGTTGGGCACCATGGCTCGTGCCTGTAATCCCAGTACATTAGGAGGCTGAGGTGGGCAGATCACCTGAGGTCAGGAGTTGGAGACCAGCCTGGCCAACATGATGAAACTCCATCTCTACTATAAATACAAAAAATCAGCCAGGTGTGGCGGCACATACCTGTAATTCCACCTCTGTGGGAGGCTGAGGCAGGAGAATCCCTTGAACCTCGGAGGTGGAGGTTCCAGTGAGCCAGGACCATGCCATTGCACTCTATCCTGGGGGACAAGAGCAAAACTCCATCTCAAGACAAAAAAATTTTTAGCCGGGCCTCCTGCAAGTTCCCGTAGTTTTAGCTACTCAGGAGGGCCAGGGGGGAGGATCACCTCAGGCCAGGAGTTTAACTCTACAGTGAGCTATGATCCTGCTACTGTGCTCTAGCCTGGGTGACACAGTGAGATCCTGTCTCTAAAAACCAATATAAATCAAACCAAAACGTTTTGAGAGGTCAAGGCAGGAGGTCTGCTTGAGGCCAGGAATTGGAGACCAGCCTGGGCAATATAGTGAGTCTTCATCTCTCTAACTAAAAAATAAAAACAAAACCTGTAGATATTTTATAATCAATCAAAGTTCTATTTCTTCATCTTTATACACAAATTCATAAGGTAAACATTTTCATGATTCGCGGGTCATCGGAATGTTGTATTGCTGGTGATGCAAACCCATTAGGCAAATATATTTTCAGCAATGGCTAATTATTGGAAAGATGTTTCCTAAGCACCAAGCTGCTTAAGAGGCATTTGATAGTGGTAGTTTCTGTCCTGTAGTAGTGTAGAAATTGGTGTGCTGTATATATGTGTGTTCATGTGTCTATAAAATTATGTTTCTAAGGGAGGTATTTTTGAAAAGATATGTTGGCTGGGCATAGTGGTTTACGCCTTGTAATCCCAGGACTTTGGGAGGCCAAGATGGGGGCGTGGGGTGGATCACCTGAGGTCAGGAGTTCAAGACCAGCCTGGCCAACATGGTGAGGTATCTACTAAAAATACAGCAATTAGCCAGGCATCGTGGCATCGTGGCCGGTGCCTGTAACCCCAGCTATTCAGGAGACTGAGGTAAGAGAATCGTTTGAACCTAGGAGGCAGGAGCTGCAGGAAGCTGAGATCATGCCATTGCACTCCAGCCCGGACAACAGAGTGAGAGTTCATCTTTAAAAAAAGATTTAACACTAGGGTATAAATCCCTTTAATAATTTTGTGTTTTTGCCAGTCTCTTTAAGTGCAATGAGTTAACCATAGATTTTTTCTGCCTGCCTCAGCCTCTTCAGAAGTTGGGACTTCAGGCTCATGCCACAGTGCCAGGCTGACTGTAAATTTCAACTGCCTGAGATCTACTGCCACCTAGTGTTATTTTGCTCTCAGCTATTTCAAGGCTGACCATTTAAGACCATTTAATTCCTTAATCCTAAATATGGAATTTCCAAAAGATCACAATCCCTAAAGTCCAAATCCTTAAAGTCTAAAATCCCTCACACCTAAAAATCCTGAAAATCACAATAACAGGATGGTTGCATCATATTAGGCTGAACTATTACCTTCTTAGTGTCTCTATTTGGAAATTTAGTGTGGTTTAAAGAGAAGCAATTGGTGAAAATTTCAGATGAGTGGATTGGCCATGCAATATGACAATGGTGAAAACTTCACTTTAAAAAGGCATCGGTTGCCTACATTGGCATTCCTTCCAACTGATTACATTTCAGGAGCTTTTAAGGAATTAAAGCCACATTTGCCTGAAGAAGCCAGTGAAGTTACTGCCTGGCTAGAAATCATTATGTACATGGTAGGATGAGGAGACATGCAACAATTCTACACCAGTGTTGTTTCTGATAATGGACTTCTATGCACCCAAAACAACATGGAAGCATGGCGACCAAGATGGGAAAACTTAATAGGGAAGGCTTATGTTGTTTATACGGAATCATAAAAGAAATTTTAAAAGAGCAGTGCCACATGGAAAATGAAGGTGAACATATTCTCTGAGGAAAGCCATGTCCTAAAAGAAAAAAAGCAGTTATTCATTGAAATACAAGATTTCAAAATATAGTAAATGCCGATGAAAATCAGTCATTTCTTATGGATTACGTTTGCGCAATACCTACAATCTATTTCTGTAATATACTTTTTCCTATGTCAAACTTTCTTTTCAGTTTTTTTTCAAGTTTTCTTTCATTATTTAAAATTTTCAGCATTATTTGTTTGCAATTCACTATGCTATCTATTTCATCTTTGCATCATTTGCAATACTGGAGGTATAAGTTGTGTAGAGATTTTCAGAAAGTTCTAATTCATTGCATAGATTTTTGCAAATTTGACTTCACAAAAGTATATTATCACAACAATGACTTTGTGTGTAAACACTGTGCCTGTTTAAAAGAGCAGTGCCATATAGAAAAATGTTGAAACATCTTCCGTAAATGGAGAGATGTTCCTTTTGCACATCTGCATTTGTGAAATATAAAATGTCTCAAGATCTCAGGCCTTTGAATATCTATACATTATGATGGTGACTCATTGTGGTTTTTGACGGATCCCATCAAAAAGACTTGGGTTGTGCAGCACAGTATTTCAGATAACTGCAATTTTAAATCTGGGTGCACACAATTTCCAACAATAGCGCTATGCAATTATATATTTCCCTTTTAACCTATTTCTTAATGAATATGATTTATTTACTCATCGCTGTTATAATCATATGACTGTTGTTAGAATACCCAAGTGCTTATGTTTGCAAAAATATGTATTTTTGCCTATTTTATTGGGTAAAGTAGCCTATAGTGTTCTGTCACGGTTTTATGCGTCTCAAGTAAATCCCCTTTTGAAAATGTAAATGCACAGCTTTAATATTTATTAAAATGTTTTTTCCCAGAATTACAGTTTCGGGATTTTGATCTTTTGGGATTTCAGCATTCAAAATTATGGCATTTGGGGCTGTATCTTGGGGGTTATAATTGGCTTCCATAAAAAATGAACTAAAGTTTACATTGAATTTCATTTTAGAGTAGATGAGAAAGCAGGAGGTGAACCTTACTAAGTGTTTAATTTTTATTTATTTCCTTATTTTCAATTAATTAATATTATTATTTAAGACAGAGTCTCGCTTTGTCACCAGGCTGGAGTGTGGGTGGGATCTCAGCTCATTGCAACCTCCGCTGCCCAGGTTTAAGCGATTCTCCTGCCTCAGCCTCCGGAGTAGCTGGGACTGACCACATGCCCTCACCGCCATGCCCAACTAATTGTTGTATTTTTAGTAGAGACGGGGTTTCACCATGTTGGCTAGGATGGTCTCGGTCTCTTGACCTCCTGATTCACCAGTCTTGTTCTCCTAAAGTGCTGGGATTCACCTGTCTAGGTCTCCTAAAGTGGTGTGAGCCACTGCGCTTGGCCTTAGTGTTTCATATGTCCTTGGCCTCATTTAATTATTTTAGAAATACTACTTCATTTAATTCTCATGAGAATCCTATGAAGGTTGATATCATCTTATTTTAGAAGAGAATAAAATGAAGCTGATATATTGATTGTGGAGCTTCAAATTCTGAAATATGAGAGCCGCTGTGTATGAATGAATCATTCACTGTAACAAAATATATAAGAATATGAATTTTAGAGTCCAGTAGATTTGAGTTTGGACCTTGGCTTTGGCACATCCAGCCGTGGGACACTGAGCATGTCACTTTCGTTCACTGAGCCTCAAGCTTCCTCAGCTTTATTGCTTAGTTTTTTGCCAGTATTAAATTATAGAGGAATGCACTTGTTATGTTACACGCTGTACCGTAAGCTTGCTTCCATTCACTTAAGCAACAAATGATTCAACAATTTTTATTGCATCATATTTTTTATTAATGAAGAAATGATTTGCATATGTTAAGCTAGCCTTGTTGGTCTTACCGTTTTCTTCATGGCCATGAAATTCTTCTCATATAATGAGAATTAAATATGATCCTTCATGTAAAGAGTTTAGAATAACGTCGGGCACAAACCACGCAATAAATTATCATTTAGTTAATAAGAATCATTCCAATTGCATGGATTCGAATGATTCTGATCAACTAAATGATAAGATCACACACACACACACACACACACACACAGAGTATGTGTATGGAATCACTGTTCAAGAACACACACACAGTATTTTTGTATGGAACTCTTCGAGAACAAGGAGGAAACCGTTATAATGCATGGAAGGGGAATTAGGGTAAGATGTGAGCGGAAAGAGAAACATCCCATCACACACGCTTGAAAAATCCGTTGAATTTAAAAATAGGTAATACAACCATACAGAGAAGACATTAGAATAAAAGATTTACACAGAAAATTTTCTTTCCCAATCCATTCCCTACTCGAGTCCTATATATGCTACTTTTATTTTCCTTTGTTTGGAAATATAAATGCACTGTCCCCCTATTTTCTCGCGAAGACTGCAATCTCTCTGCATTCTTCTGCACTTGTTTTTTTGTGCATATGCTTTCGTTGTGAAATATTTTCCCCCATCTGCTGTTGTATATGAAATAAATAAATACATACAAGCTGAACAGCTCCGCTTGGTCGCACCACCTCCAAGCCCGTACCCGCCCTCCCTCAGGCTCACGTGCTCCGAGGGCCCCCTTAGCAAGTTGTTTCTGGCGATGCCTGTCCTAAGGCTGAAGCCCCGCCCACTCTCCCCCTCTTCTGCCCTCTGGACTCCTGCCTTCATTCCGAAGGCGGCGGGCGGCGTTTCAGGCAGTGAGGCGGGCAGCGTTTTAGGCAGTGCGGCGGGCAGCCAGTCCTCCGGCGCGCCGCGGGCCTCGGAGGACCCCAGCGACGGCCGTGGCGTAAGACCGGGGGTACGCGGCGACAACGGCGGCTGCCGAGGGTGTTGCGATCGATTTCGCTGGTTGTTTCCGGAGTCCAGTTCCTTGGCCGCCCTTGCCACACTGGCTGATTGTTGTGCAGCTAGCGCCATGTCTGTGAGCGAGATCTTCGTGGAGCTGCAGGGCTTTTTGGCTCAAGAGCAGGACATCCAAGAGGCGAGCCTCCTCCCTTCTCCATTCCGTTTCTCTCTCCATGCCTAGCTGGGCCACATCGCCCGGTCCTCCTTCGTCACTGAGTCTGGGGCGGTGAGGACGCCTCCGAGGGTGGGTTGCTTCCCCTCTAGCTTTAGGTTAGGGCACTCCCCGCTCCAAATTCTACCGCTCTGTCCTGATTCTCCGTGTTCAGGTCTCAGCTTCTCAGCATCACCTACCTCGTTTGTGTCAGTTTGCCTTCTTTTCGGCACTTGCTTATATCGAAGGCTCGAATTGCGCCTGAATTCAGCGAATACGCGTTTGGTGTATTTGTTGTTGGTGTCTTAAAAGCACCTGTAATCTCCTATTTAAAACTCTCCTGTGGTTTCCTATCCCACATAGGATAAAAAGTCAGACTCTACTGTGGCCCACATGGCCTCTCTTCAATCTCATTTTACGCCTTCTCTCTTTATGTATGATGTTCACTTTAGTTCTTTACTTCTAGTGCCCCAGTTAGCTTCCTGCCTGTCTTTAATGGAATTTGCGTCTTTCCCCTTCTTTTCCTGGTTATCTCATATTTATCCCCTTGACCTCACAACCTAAACGGTCTATTTCCTGTTATGTTTTCTAGTAGCACATTAATTTTTTTAAAGAAATGTGTGTAATGTTGATTATTTAAAAAATATCTTCTCCCCCATTATATGGCAAACCACCAGAGGGAAGGGATTGTATGCTTGGTTCCCCAGGTATTTACACAGTGCCTGGCACATAAGTGTGCTAAGTGAATATTTTAAAAGTGAAGTAAAGGCAGGGTGCGGTGCCTCATGCCTGTCATTGCAGCACTTTGGGAGGCCGAGGCGGACAGATCACCTGAGGTCAGGAGTTCGAGACCAGCCTGGGCAAGATGGTGAAACCCTGTCTCTACTAAAAGTACAAGAGAGAATTAACTGGGTGTGGTGGCACACACCTGCCATCCCAGGTACTGCGGAAGCTGAGGCAGGAGAATCACTTGAACCCAGTAGGTGGAGGTTGCGGTGATCTTAGATCGTGCCACTGCACTCCAGCTTGGGCAACAGAGCAAGACCCCGCCCCCCCCCAAAAAAAAGAAAACAAAATTAGAAATACCCAACTCTTGTATTGCATTTAACTCTTCATTTTACAAATTATATTCACACGCATCATCCATTCGATAATGTCCCAATTGGATACTTGGGTGAATGGGTGGCTGTTATCCTTAAAAGCTACCTGAGGAATCTAAGGCTTTTTAGTGACTTTTTGAAGTCTTACAGAGGAAATAAGTGGAAAAGTCAGGACTCCACCTTGGTTATGATAGATCACATATACTATCTAATGTGTTTGATGTCAGTGTATGACAATAATTGTGTTGCATATCTGATTTTTATTTTTACTTCTCTAGGAAATTCGAAAAGCTGTACAGAGTTTAGAACAAGCAGCTCCAGAGATTTTAACTCTACTGCAAGGGATCCATCAGGGTGCTGGGTTTCAGGACAGTAAGTTCTTGGTTTTGTATCCAAGTATCTCTTATTTCGAGAGTTAGTTTCTATCTAGAAGACTTTTTTTTTTAAGACGGAGTTTCACTGTTGTTTCCCAGACTGGAGTGCAATGGCATGATCTCGGCTCACCGCAACCTCTGCCTCCTGGGTTCAAGCAATTCTCCTGCCTCAGCCTCCCGAGTAGCTGGTAGCTGGGACTACAGGCGCGCGCCACCATGCCCAGCTAATTTTCGTATTTTTAGTAGAGACGGGGTTTCACCTTGTTGACCAGGATGGTCTCGATCTCTTGACCTTGTGATCCACCTGCCTCAGCCTCCCAATGTGCTCGGATTATAGGCGTGAGCCGCTGTGCCCGGCTAGAAGACATTATATAATGAAAAATGTCCATCACGCTTTATGGTGAATACAAACTGAAGAAGTAGGTGATTTGGTAATTTTGATTTTTCCACTTCCACATAGTATGGTTTAAATAGAGATGTTTTTTTCTGTTGTCATAGCATTCTACTGATGATACTTAGAATCGCTTAACCCATTTCCTGTTTAGAAAAAAAAGTGTAGCTCTCTGCCAGCACAGTCTTCTCAGGGTAAGCAGGAAAAGGGTTTATAACGCCTTTGTGTTATCTAGTGATTTTTATTTGGCTCTTTTGTGTGTGTGTGTGTGTGTGTGTGTGTGTGTGTGTGTGTATCCAGCCTTTCACTGATTGAATACCTTTTTTTCCCAACTTCCTGTTGATTTGCATTAAATACCTTTTAATATGAGATTAACAATATAAAGTGTTCTCAAATCAATGCGCTTACAGTCAGCCTTGTGAATGAAAGTCAAATATGTCAAGTTTAGACATGGAACCTTCATTGTAAGGCATAGCCAGCACAGCTAAAAGAGCTGAAGTATATTTTCAGTTACAAGAATGATATAATAATGCATTGACATATGCCAGAGGCACGTCATTTTTCTTAATGATATAGAGTTGTGTCATCTTGGTTGTGAATAATTGGTAAAGGCTTTTTTCTGCCACATACGGGAAGAAGGAGCAATCCGATGTTAAGCATTCTCTCAGGAGTGAACAGGAATAGCGGCTGGTGTGCAGCCCCTGAAGGATGATGTTGTTTATGACAAGCCTATTACCAATGTGTCTCCTAATATATTCCCTTTTAGCAAGTTGTTTATTTTTCAGTATAGCTTATTAGTACAGAAACCAGGGATGATATTTTGAGAGCCAGGTTGAGAAGCAGAGATGTGTACATTAGTTGTGAGGTTAAAAAAAAAGTTGATTCATTTCCAGATAGATTACTTAGATTATTAAGCTAGAACTGTATTTGAAATTTGATACGTTTTTCATTATTACATTTGATTGTCTTTTGTGATTAGTTTCAAAGAGGTGTTTGAAAGCTCGAGAACATTTTGGTATAGTAAAAACACATCTAATGTCTTTGAAGACCAAGTCTCCTGCTGAACCGTATTATAGGTTTGTAAGAAAAATAGCATTTTATAATGATAAGTAAGAAAAGGAGAAAAATTATACGTACCAAATGATTGCTTACAACTAGGTAAGCATCCTGATGTGTAGGAGTAACAGAAAGAGAAGAACCAAACTAATGATGGTCATGGCAAACATTCGTGATTTTTTTTCTTTTTACTTTCTAAATCTTCTTAAGGAACATGTATTACTTTTGCAGTGAAAAAGCAATGAAAAAGAAAATGTGGTATGAAGGTCAGAAGAATATCTTTTTGCTGTATTTTGGTTTCTTGTGAAATTGGATGAACTATTGTTATTGAGGTAATGAGATTAGGTGGCGGTATATATCAATACCGTCGAGTTTTCATTTGAAGCTTGAATTTCACTGCCAAGTGACATATATAGTTAATATTTTATGCCACATCTTGTTGAATCTACAACACTGTTAATTTTAAGATACACCATTATTTTATGCAGGGAAGGAAAATTTTGCCAGTCATAATCATGAAACATGAGCTAACTAATAAGGTGTGATCTCGGGTCACTGCAACCTCCACCTCCCAGGTTCAAGCGATTCCCCCACCTCAGCCTCCTGAGTAGCTGGGACTATGGGTGGGTGCCACTACACCCGGCTAATTTTTGTATTTTTTGTAGAGATGGGGTTTTGCCATGTTGGCCAGGCTGGTCTTGAACTCCACACCTCAGGTGATCCACCTGCCTCAGCCTCCCAAAGTGCTGGGATTATAGGCGTGAGCCACCGCGCCTGGTGTAAATTTTCATATTCATCAAAATTAGACCGTATTGCTCACTGAATAAACTTAAATAATTGTTATAAATTTGGACTTGTAAAATGTATAGTAAGTGTCATATTGCTCTTTATATATTGGGGCTTTGCATAAGATTTTATTTGAAAAATGATCTTATTTCTGCACTGTTTGAACATGACTGTATTAAGCGCGTCTCTCTGAAGGTCTACAGCCTTGGAGGTTAAGTGTGCTTATTTTCCTGCAGATTTCATGAGCACTGGAGGTTTGTATTGCAGCGCTTGGTCTTCTTGGCAGCATTTGTTGTGTATTTGGAAACAGAAACACTAGTGACTCGAGAAGTTACAGAAATTCTTGGCAGTAAGTGTCTTCATTAGTGGGATCTGCAGAATCAGGCATGGTTGCTTAGATTTTGGTGGAAAGGGTGGTTGTACTTTGTTTATTAAAACAAATAAGAACTAACTAAAAACCATGTATAGTCGTAGCTTGTTATCTGAGGATGACTGGATCCAGAACTCTCCCAATACCAAAATCTGAGGATGTTCAAATCCCTTATATAAAATGGTGCAGTATTTGTAACCTGTACACATCCTCCCACATACTTTAAATCATCTCTAATTACTTAAAATGTCTAATACAGTATGAGTTCTGTATAAATAGTTGTTACACTATATTAAAAAATTTATATTTTGAATTGTATTGTCATTTTTATTTATTTTTCCCAAGTATTTTCAGTCTGCAGTTGGTCAGCACAGAGGGCCAACTGTACTTGGAAACACAAAAGCTAAAAACAATAGTGGCTAACTCATTTGCACTTGCTTCTTTCAGTTTTTAAAATTGGATTTTTTAAAATGTCAAGCCTACAGGAAAATGGAAAGAATAGTATGATGAATACCTGTTTACAGGACACTTAGATTTGCCACTTGTTAACATTTTACTACATTTGCTTAATCTTCTCATTTTGTGTCTTTGTCAGCCATTTGGAAGGTAGTTGCAAATATCATAACTCCTTTTTTAAATGCTTTATCATGCACTTTGTAACAAGTGTATTCTCTGACCCAACTAGACACCATTTTGATAATACTACTTTTTAAGGAAGACTGAATTGAATTTTGCTTAAGAGCTCAAAAAATCCACAGTGCAGTCTAGTTGCCAAGGGTGTGAATATATTACAAAAACAGATTTTAAAAGATTCATCCTTTTCACTTAATTTGGGAGAAATTGTGTGTGTATTTTTATACTCTGAGGCTTAAATGGCATTCACAGCATGCCTCTATTTTCATGTGTTTTTTAGTTGAGCCAGATCGGGAGAAAGGATTTCATCTGGATGTAGAAGATTATCTCTCGGGAGTTCTAATTCTTGCCAGTGAACTGGTAAGCTCAGTAATTTGCTGGTTGCTTTTTTGATCTTTCTGCTTCACTGTCACTTTTTAAAATGGGTACCAAAATTCAAGAAGTCTGAAATCTTTTCTAAGCCGTCTCTCAGTCACCAGTTAGTCATTGACTGGCACTGTATGTGTTACAGTTTACTAGGCATCAGAGCAAAGCCAGATCAAATAAGGAGTGCATACTTACTGAGTTATGAATTGTTTTTTATTTTTTGAGGCAGAGCTTTGCTCTTGTCGCCCAGGCTGGAGTGCAATGGTGCGATCTCAGCTTACCACAACCTCTGCCGCCCAGGTTCAAGCGATTCTCCTGCCTCAGCCTCCTGAGTGGCTGGTATTACAGGCATGTGCCATCAAGCTTGGCTAACTTTTTATTATTAGAGATGGGGTTTCTGCAGGTTGGTCAGGCTGGTCTGGAACTCCCAACCTTAGGTGATCCACCCGTCTTGACCTCCCAAAGTGCTGGGATTACAGGCATGAGCCACTGCGCCTGGCCTGAGTCATGAATTTTTTGTGTGTGTTTTTAGTAGAGCCAGGGTTTCACTGTGTTGGCCAGTCTGGTCTCTACTTCTTAACATTGGGTAATCCACCCACCTCAGCCTCCCAAAGTGCTGGGATTACAGGCTTGAGCCACTGTGCCTGGCCATTGAATTTTTAAAAGATGATAAGACCTTTTCTTTTTAGGGTAGTGACAAAACGTCTGTTCTTGATAACTGTGTTAATTCATGTAATTGTTTTGAAGACTTATTTATCTATATAACTATATAAGTTATTCTTATCCTTTATTCCGTTAATCACTATCTAGGGAAATTGCCCTGTAAAAGTCTGAAGAGGAAAAAAGCTCTCAGTAAAAATTGAGTAGTTGTGATAGAGACTGTATCAGTCTGCAGAGGTGAAAATATTTACGATCAGGCTGTTAAGAAAAAATTTGCTTGTCCTTGCTTCACAGGAAAGCAGTCCAGGGCTGGTCTGATGATTCCTTGATCTTTGGCCTGAGGTTCTTCCAGCCTCAGCTTCTTTCTTATGTTCCAGAACTGTTGCTTTGTTCACGTCTTCACTGTAGCCAGCAATAGGAGGAAATGGGGAAAGGGTATGCCCTCCTACTTTGAGGAAATTTCTTTGAGGCTGTACAAACAAGTTCTATTTAATATTCTGGTGCCTTGCCTGCAGGGTAGGCAGAAATGAAGTCATTGGAGTGGGTATGTGTGCATTGAAAACCTGAGGAAGATGGGAAGAATGGATAATGGGGTTCACTTGCCGGCTGTACCACTTGTCTGACTTGCTGGAGACACCTGACCAGTAAACTTCAAGCACCTTGTCGGTATTAGTTGTTAAGTGTGAGGTGTCTTTAGGACCATACATGTTGGGGCTAGTTACAGTGGCTTACACCTGTAATCCTGGCAATTTGGGAGGCAAAGGTGGGAGGATCACTTGAGGCCAAGAGTCCTATTCCAGTCTGAGCAACAAAGCAAGTCTCCTTTCTATTTATATTAAAAAACAAAACAAAAAAACCTGTGTGTGTTGAGAATGCACTAAAGAGGTGGTGTAGGTAAGCCTGGATAAGTGGAGAGGATTTTACAGAAAGGGGAATCTTTTTTTGTTATTTTATTAAGCCAGTCAAAGGTATCAGTGGGTTGGGGGGGTTCACTTGAACTCCGTAGGTGGAGGTTGCAGTGAGCTGAGATTGTGCCACTGCACTCCAGCCTGGTGGCAGAGTGAGACTCTGTCTCAAAAAAAAAACAAAACAAAAACAAAAACAACAAGAAAAAATGATAAGAACTCTGCAATGCAGTCTGTCAAATGGAGAAAATAGGTAAATCATGTCTGCTCTTTACATGAATATAGAATCTCATTAGAAAAATAAAAGTACACAGAGAAAGTGATGTGTTCAATGTATAAGACATCACACATGATAGGGCAGATAAGTGTCAGAAGGGAGGATCACTGCAGTTATGTGAATTCTTCCTGAACTACCCTTTCCATCTCTTAATTTCCCATCCTACAAAATTGTTAATCATTCCTCTCTGAATTTCACTTCTTCCCTCCAGACACTTCTCCTTTTTACACATATGAGGCTATATTACGTTTGCTTAATACATTTAATATATTATTAATAATAACATAGGCATACTTTTTTTTTTTTTTGAGATGGAGTTTCACTCTTGTTACCCAGGCTGGAGTGCAATGGTGTGATCTTGGCTCACCGCAACCTCCGCCTCCTGGATTCAGGCAATTCTCCTGCCTCAGCCTCCTGAGTAGCTGGGATTACAGGCACATGCCACCATGCCCTGCTCATTTTTTGTATTTTTAGTAGAGATGGGGTTTCACCATGTTTACCAGGATGGTCTCGATCTCTTGACCTCGTGATCCACCCGCCTCAGCCTCCCAAAGTGCTGGGATTACAGGCTTGAGTCACTGTGCCCGGCTAGACATACATTTTATATGTATATTGCCTGTATAGGCTATGTTATTACTTGTATAATATATTAGCTTATATTTAAAGTGTGCCTCACCAATTAAAAGACTAATTGTATACTTGTTTAAGGCTGTATTATTGTTTGTTTAATATATTAGTTTGTATTGAAAGTGTTTTGTTTATTAGAATAGTATGAATCCCTTAAAATGGAAATCAGTGTTTTAAATCTTACATCTTTTGCACACTGAACATCATGTATTAAAAAGTATAATATGAATTAAATAGGGGGTCTTGAGGAGCCGGTAAACTTAGGCAATCAGGGAGAGAGGTCATTTCAGGAATGAGGTAATGGATTGACTAATGTATAAAAGTGGGAGGGAGTGTGGGAACTAAGACATCTTCTACAGATGTGTGTGTTAAATAGCATCTGGATAAGTTGAACAGAATCAACTTAAGGGGAGTCTCCTAAATGATAGCAAAGTAAAATTTATCAAATGCAGTTCTTTCAGTTAATCACAGTAGGATGAAGGGATTGAGATATCGCTTTTCCTCCCTTTTATTTATTTCACTAAATCTAAGGCACCGTATGGCAAGGATGTGACTTTTTGTTTGTCTGGTATGTGTCAAACCAAAAGGGAAAACAATGTATTTAGATTTAAATTCTAACTGTACCATCAAACCACGCTGGACTTTCTTACAGTCATTTCTATCAACTGCCCATTCCCTCAATCTACAGTGGAGGACAAAGAAGTCTCCAGTAGAGCAGTATCTCAATTATTTGTTAACATTTGATCCATGAGACTGGATAGTCTCTTAGTCAGTTCAGGCTGCCATAACGAGTTACCGTAGACTGGGTGGCTTAAACGACAGAAACGTATTTGTCACAGTTCTAGATGTTGGAAGTCCAAGATTTGGTTGCCAACAAGGCCAGGTCCCCAGTGAGGGCGCCCTTCCTGGTTTGCAGATGGCTGTGTCCTTGCTGCGTACTGACATGGCAGAGAGCACAGAGAGAGAAGCAACCTCTTGTTTCTTTGCTTATAAGGCTCTAATTCAATCATAAACGCTCTACCCTCATGATTTAATTATGTCCCAAAGGTCTGATTTTTGAATTGCATCATGTTGGTAATTATAGTTTCAACATAAATTTGATGCTGGGGTTGGGGAGGATGGCGGTGCAAACATTCAGTCAATAGTAAGTGTCTTTCCCAGAAATTAGACAGTCAGACAAGTTACTCTGCCTGATGATGGGAATTGTAACATATAAGTTCAAGAATTATTACAGGGCCAGGTACAGTGGCTCATACCTGTAATCCCAGCAGCCAAGGTGGGCAGATCATTTCAGGTCAAGAGTTTGAGACTAGCCTGGCCAACAGGGGGAACCCAGCCTCCACTAAAAATGCAAAAATTAGCCAAGCATGGTAGTACACACCTGTAGTCCCAGCTACTCGGGAGGCTTGGTTATAAGAATTACTTGAACCCAGGACCCAGAGGTTACAGTGAGCTGAGATCGCACCACTGCACTGTAGCCTGGGCAACTGAGCAAGACTCCATCTCAAAAAAAAAAGGAAAGGAAAGAAAAGAAAAAAAAAAAGAATTACGGAATCATTATAGGTCAAGCTCTACCTCAAAAACCAATGAATCACAGGAAAACAGAAGGAGACAAGAGAAGAATGAAGCAGATTTGAGGAATAAAGCAAAGAGGAGTCAATTCAAAGAAAATTGCCTGGTACCTAGTTTTTGCTTCAAGTTCATTCCTGATGCTAGGCTATATCCCTTCCTATGGCTCTCCGAGATGATTCTGATTCTGTATCCCATTGTAAGTTCTCTCTTCTTCTCTCTGTTTTTCTTTGCTAGCTCAGGTTGAATTGCACTATTGTAACTAAACGGTCATGCACAAATTATACAGACTATGTAGTGTGGTTTTCAGTTCAAACACACAAATATCAAGAAATATGAGACCTAAGGTTTTTATACACGTAATTTTGATCAAATAGTATATACAGTAACCCATTAGGCTGGGAAATGAGATATGCTATGTCACGGTATGTCATTACGCAAGATTAAGTTGCGGGGTGAATACAGCATCATTTTTACATTTGCTTATTTGTTGTGTAATAATTTACAATAGAATATGGACTATTAATATTATGTGACTTGTTTTCCTCCAGATTTGCCTTGTTTTCTTAAAATTGGTAGTACTATGTAAGTACTTTGAGTTAATAACATGCCCATGGACAATAGCTAGTGTTAGCTGAGTAAAGATTGATTATAAAAACAGAAACTCACACTGTAACAAATTTAAAGAAAAAGTACAAATAATGTCAGAAACTAAACCTGACCATTTTTGTGTTTGTTTGTGTGTGTGTGCGCACGTGTGTGTGTGTGTGTGAGAGAGTGAGTTAGGTATGGTATATGATATTTAATTATAGTGATTTCAGAATTTGCTGATAGATTGTGTGGGGGTCCCTATTAGGCACATAAGTTGATATGTTGAGCAGTTTTTGAGAATTAGGTGGGGGAATTCAAGCTAGAGATGTTAAAATTAACAAAATACAGGCTATATTTATGTCCCTGAGACTGGAGGAGATCTTCCAAAGATGTGAAGACAGTAACAGAGTTTACATGCTAAGGCTTGTGAAAATTTCAAATTTTAGAGATTGAGAACATAGTAAGTAAAACTTAAATTCTCATAAAACACAATGAAAATTGTGATTAAGAGCTCATGAGCAAGTTTTACCTTCTTGTCAAAGTCTCACTGTGTGACAGTGATATTTCCTTTTTGAACTGCCAGCAGCCATGGCTTTGTTGAAATTTTGATGTAGAAAGAGGATGACACTAGGATTTGCCTGGTTGACCTAGTCAATGACTGGATTGCCCTAAACATTATGTGAATGTTATCTAAGATGTGCAATAGTCTCCTAATGTTCTCTCTCTTTGTTGACTTTAATTTCCACACGGCTACCAGAATAACTTTTCTAAAATAAAACTATTTGTGTGTTTAAAATACTTCAGTGGTCCCCTCTTGACTTCAGGAGAAGGTCAAATTCCTCATCATAGTACACAAGGCTCTCCATCCCCTTCCTTTCACCCACCTCCCCCAGCAGTGTCTCTCGCCACTTCCCTCCTGGTACTCTGAGTTACTTGATATTTCCCCTCATGTTTCATTATCACTTATCAGCAGGCTTTCATACATGATGTGTCCCAACCTGGAAAACTATTTTCCAACCATATGCGTTGACATTTCTGACATCTTTTAGGGAGCCCTCTCTGAACTCTCAATTCTTGGTTACTTTTTCAATATCCTTCCTGACATCTTTTTCTACTGTAAAATTAAGTAATTCAAACTTGAAACTGTTGGAACTTTAAGGTATTTTGAGCCCAGAAAGGCTGTGTGGCCTGAGTCACATAGTGTGCAACTGGAACTTCTGCTTTTTCCTGTAAATTATTAGGAAAGGGCTTGTGGCAACAGAGTGAGACTTCCCTCAGATCATCACTGCTCATGGAATGTTAAGGCAATGCTCCTTTTATTGTGCCCATCTGTAACCTATCAAATTGCTATAACCTCTGCACTGACCTTGTATGGAAAATGTTGTAACTCCCTATATAAATTAAACCCTAACTTACCCACTTACGAATGATGACCCATTGTTTTAGAGTGTGTGTTTTCTGGATAGTCATCCTGAAGCTTTGCACTCAGATAAACACTATACGTGACATGGTTTTTGAATCTCATTATGTTTGACACTACTCTGCATTGCAATTACCAATGTAGTGAGATACAGAATATATCTAGAAAAGTGGTTCTCAACTATTTGTCTGCCAGGGCACATTTGGCAATGTCTATGGACATTTTTGGTTGTCACAGTTGGGGAGATGCTACTGGCATCTAACTAGTAGAAGCCAAGGATACTGGTAAGCATCCTACAATGCACAAAATTGACCCTACAACAATTATTCAGCTCAAACTGGCAATCATGCCAAGATTGAGAAATCCTGCACTGGAATGAAGAGAGAATCACTTGAGCCTTGTTGAGGCTGAGGGTGTGGAGGGGCAGCCCACAGCAGGGAGTAGCTCAGAATGTGAGGGCGGGGAGAGTTAGGATAAGGAAGGAGGAGAAGTGTGAATAAGAAGCCTGGATGGGTGAGGATATAGAGAGAGTTTATCAGCTACATATGGGAAGGGAAATGGTGTTTAAAGAAGATGTTTAGAGATGTGTTCCAGGTGAGCCACTGTGGGAAGCCCTCTCCCATCTACGCTGGTCTGCTACTTATTGGAACATACCCTCTCCAGGGCTTGTTATACCCTCACCATCCCACAAGCTTGCCCAACTCACCGTATTTTGTTGTTGTTTTCTTTTAAGCTTTTGGCAGTCTGAAGCCATGGTTCTTGGTTTCTGTCTCTAGTGAGAACCAGAAAAGAAATGAGGAAGGGGTTTTACTGGCCCAACCACAAACAGAACTAAGAAGCCATGGCCGTATTCTCTCCCTTGGACATCCCTGAAAAAGAAATGGTTATAAATGCTTTAGATCTGTTCAATCATTCTAATCTTAGTGGCATGATACATTTCTTCTATAAAATTCAAAATTTTATTTTGGAAGTAGGACCTTTGGAGATTTCAGTGCCTGAAAACAAGTGAACAAATCACCACTGTTGAAATACCAGTGGCCTCCCGCCTCTCGCCGCCCCCCGCCCGCAGGCTCCTGAGCCTTAGTCGGCGCTGAGCATCCCGCTGCCCCGAGCATCCCGCTGCCCCGGACCCTCCTGCGGGCGCGCACCAGGCTCAACTCAGGCTCAGGACAGCAGGTAGACATCTCCACTGCCCAGGAACCACGCAGACAGCACAGCCTCCTCGGAAGGCCAGCCATACCAGAGTCCTGCCTCGGCATGGGCCTCGCCATCCAGGCAGCTCCACTGTCTGTGCTAGTCTGAGGGTGCCCGTCATGGGGGCAGCCATCTCCCAGGGGGCCCTCATCACCATTGTCTGCAACGGGCTTGTAGGCCTCTTGCTGCTGCTGCTCTGGGTTATCCTCTGCTCGGCCTGCCATTCTCGCTCTGCCGATGTTGACACTCTCTGAATCCAGTCCCAACTCCAGCCCTGGCCCCTGTCCTGAGAAGGCACCACCACCCCAGAAGCCCAGCCATGAAGGCAGCTACCTGCTGCAGCGCTGAAGGCCCCTGGTCTAACCTGGAGCCCCGGACCTAAGTCCACCTCACCCAGAGTCTGGAATTAGGATCCCAGAGTTCAGCCGGCTGGGGGTCCACAACTCAAGAGTCTGCCTGCTTGGAGCTGGACCCAGCAGTCTAGAGTCTAGCCAGCCTGGCCCCAAGAGGAGCTCGGTGGACTTAAGGAGATGGGCCTGGGGTGGGGGCTTATGAGTTGGTGCTAGGGCCTGCATTTTATTGTTGTTGTTTTGTTTTGAGCTTTTGGGAGCCTGAAGCCATGGTTCTTGGTTTCTGTCTCTAGTGAGAAGCAGAAAAGAAATGAGGAAGGGGTTTTACTGGCCCAACCACAAACAGAACTAGACTGACATTTCAGTATATTTGGCTAACTCTCATCAATGGATATCATGCACAATTACAGGCCATGGCAGCCTGTGTCCTAATGTGTTCCATGCCTGTCATCCAGACTGAGTCTAGGTGATGGACAGATGGAGGGACAGGCGAACCCACCATGTAACCTCTAGTAGCCTACTTACAAAACACAAACCCAGCTTCTCTGTAACTTTTTGTTTTTTGGTGGGGGGAGGGAGTCTCATTCTCTCACCCAGGCTGGAGTGCAGTGGCACAATCAGGCTCCCTGCAACCTCTGCCTCACTGGTTGAAGTGATTCTCCTGCCTCAGCCTCCTGAGTAGCTGAGATTGCAGGCATGTGCCACCATGCCTGGCTAATTTTTGTATTTTTAGTAGAGACAGGGTTTCATCATGTTGGCCAGGCTGGTCTCAGACTCCTGACCTCAAGTAATCTGCCCACCTTGGCCTGCCAACGTGCTAGGATTATAGGCATGAGCCACTGCACCTGACCCAGCTTCCCCATCTCTAAGTGAGGAGTTTGGATGACAGGATGCACTGTAATAAAATCATTAAACTCCCCTGCAGAGCCCCAGGGCACACACCACCATAGACTCTTGCCTTTCACTGTCTTAGTGCCCCAGAGCACACACCACCATAGACTCTTGCCTTTCACTGTCTTAGTGCCCCAGGGCACACACCACTATAGACTCTTGCCTTTCACAACTCTTTCAGAATGTTGATTTTTCCGATTTTTATCCCCCCCTTTTTTTTTAAATTTCATATAGGGTCTTGCTCTGTCGCTTAGGCTGGAGTGCCTTGGTGCGATCATAGCTCACTGCAGCCTCGACCTCCAGGGCTCATGCGATCCTCCCTCCTCAGCCTCCCGAGTAGCTGGGACTACAGCTGCACACCACCACACCCAGCTAATCTAATGTCTTCTTGATGTCCTGCAATCTATTCATCTTCCTTTGTTTTGTTCGCAAGAACTTTATGAGAGACCATGAAGTCCCACAGAAGGGATCTCACATTTTAAGACGTGTTTTCATAATTATTTGAGACAACAGAAAGCATTCACACAAATGCACAAGTATCTTTAGAGGTGGTGTGTGTGTGTCCTTATTCTAACAAAGGCTGTGGCCATTCAGCAAATTCTAGAATTTCCTTACTGGGAGACATCTTCAGGATAGCGACAGTGTTGTTTGGATACCCCCCATGCTAATGAGCTGTGATCTTCTGAAGGGGAATTTGATGTTTGTGTAATAAGAAGAACATTTCTGTTTGAAAAGTTGCCTACAGGTTGAGGTTGGAATGGATTAGAGTAGAAAGAAGCAAAACATTCCTCTGATGGAGTCACAAGGTCATTTGTTGGAAAAAAAATGACCTCACCGAGCATGATTGGTGTTCTTAAAGCTAATCCACCCTCCCCATGGGCTGGGTAGGAGAAACAAAAGAGGTGACTTATTCTGTCTAAAAGGGAATGACAATTTTGCCCTGCCTCTGGGAGACAGACCAGGGAGGTGGGTAGAGGACCCCCAGAAAGGGGTGGGGTGGGGTGGGGTGTGGAGAGCATGAGGTGGAGAGTGTGGAGGGAGAGAGGGGCCTGAGGAGATGGTCGTTTGCCAAGCCTGAAGATGGACCAAGCCACGAGAAAACTCCTGGGCAGCAAACTTGGGCTGGAGTGCAATGGCGCAATCTCGGCTCACTGCAGCTTCCGCCTCTGAGGTTCAAGCGATTCTCCTGCCTTAGTCACCTGGGTAGCTGGGATTACAGGCATGTGCCACTATGCCTAGCCAATTTTTGTAGTTTTACTAGAGATGGGGTATTTCCATGTTGGCCAGGCTGGTCTCGAACTCTTGGCTTTGAGTGATTGGCTCGTCTCGGCCTCCCAAAGTGTTGGGATTATAGGCATGAGCCACTGCATCCAGCCCATGGCTTTCAAATCTAGAGTGCTGTGCAGCATTGAGCCACTGCCGTGGCCCTGGAATTAGCATCTATCTGTCTGCATAGAAAATCTTAGGGGGGATTTGTAAAAGCCTCTTTTATCTGCTAGGAAACCGAGTTCAAGGAACCATTGTTACCAGATCTCACCTATGTGCCCGTAAATTTGGATGTTCTCTTCTCAAAGTTCCCTACAATGGTTGATGCTCCTGGCCTGCAGGAAGCCACCTTCCCTGCCACCTGTTGAGGAAGGAGATCCTTAATCACCCTTAAGCATCTAAGACCACCTCCCGCTTGACTTCCACTTTGCATTTCAATAGGGGAAGTAAAGGTTGGCAGACAGGCCACCTTTCATCACCCTCCTATAGACTGCAGGCATGGTATAGACGAATCTTTCAAGAAGGCATTGTTTTTACTTAAACATAATCAAACCCCCACCTAAGTCACTGTATCCCACCCTACTCCATGGCCCAAGACTCTTTCACAGGTAAATTCTAGAGTTGTAAGCTTTTAAAAGGGTGGGGACTTTCTTTGTGAGCTGAGCTTGGCTATTAAGCAATTTTGCTGCCCTGCTCCTGGCTGAATAAATCACCCCTTTCTTTCCAGGTCGGTGTTCCAGAGGTTTGTTTTGTGGCCTTTCCTGCTTCACTGTGAGGCTGGGACTCAAGAGCCCAGCATGCTCTCCTGAAATAGCTTTGTGGCATCAATTCTGCATATAAAGTGTCTTATCCCCCCTGATTAAATGAGAATCGCTTCCAAGTATGACAACCCCAAAATAATCCTTATTGCACAATGCTATTTCATGCCAGCAAAAAGAAAAAAAAATTCTTCATTGAATTTATGAAAATAACTATATTTCCATGAAAAGTTAAGAAGACTAAATCATTTTCTGAATTCTAGAGTGTTTGTGAAAATCAGAAACTATGTAAAACATGTTTCTTTTCAACTGACAAAAGCAAAGTCTATTACATTGTAGGTTAAGAAGGAAGAGAAGGACTTCCTCATAGATCTATAAATGAAAACAGGAAAACATCAGCAATATTCAAAAAAATAACCGCAACAAAATTGCCTCATTCAATCCTATGTAATAATTCCTGTTTTTTTTTGGATCCCAGCCAAGAGAGAACTTTCAGGAAGCCTCTGCTCTGAGATTAGTGGCCTAGAAGTCATGACTCCATCTGATGGATAATCTGAAGGTGGCCTGAGTGAGGTGCATTCAGGGGCCTGTACCCACGAGGCGATTCACTGTAGCTCAGCAGCTTGGAGAGCCTTCATGTCCTTGTGAGCCTCCCAGGCTGCCCCTCGTGGAAGGCAGCCCTCTCTGTGGCTTACAGCAGAGTCTCAGGTGCACAGCAGAGTAAATACGAAACTACTGGTAGATGACTCATGGTTAATTTATTACAGCAACCAATAAAACAAAGCTTCAGAAAAGTAAGATTCTCCATTGGGAAATAACTATTTTGTAAGTGTTTTGATCCACGTCTCACTAAAGGTAAAGCATACCACGGACGGTGATGAGGGCACTGGCAAACCTTCAGGGCCTTGCTACAAAGTGTGCAGTGTCTGAAATATTTGTACTAATGACAGTTTGCTGATACAAACTTAACCCAGGGAATGCTGAGCATCTCTTCAGATGCTGATATAAGAATAACAAACGTAGTTACTTCTATCATCTCTTGCTCTTGCTTCATAAGGTGAAAGTACAAATTTTTGTGAATTTCCAGGGGCCCTCTGGGAAGTTTCAAAGCATGTTTTAGTTCAAGATGAAAAGTTTTCTTTTACTGTTTCTACATTTAGGATCTGATCTCTGGGAGGAAAAATCAAAAGAGTTGTCGGAAAAGATTTAGGCACTTGACTCAGAGCGTGTCACGGGTGCTCAATAAATAATTCTTGCTTACGCTTTTAGTAATGCAAACAAATTTAAAAGTAAACAGAAGGTGACATGAGTTTAAAGAATCATCTCTTTCACGAGTGAGTTTTTGTATTTGTTTTATTTTTAAATACTCAAGGACTTAATAAAGTCAGCATGAAGCACAGAAATTTTTCTGGCAAGACGTAAGCTACTGCTGTCAGACAGACCACAGGATAAAAGAACAGCCCTCATGCTGCAGGTCAGCCGTCCCCAGCCTTTTTGCACCAGGAGCTGGTTTCATGGAAGATAATTTTTCCATGGGCCAGGGTGGGGGGATGGTTTCAGGATGATTCAAGTGCATTACATTTATTGTGCACTTTATTTCTATTATTATTGCGTTGTAATATATAGTGAAATAATTATACAATTCACCATGATGTAGAATCAGTGGAGGTCTGAGCTTGTATTTATGCAACTAGATGGTCCCATCCAGGGTTGGTGAGTGATGGGAGACAGGGACAGATCATCAGGCATTAGATTCTCATAAGGAGCCTGCAACCCAGATCCCTTGTATGCACAGTTTACAATACGTTTCACACTCCTGTGAGGGTCTCATGCCACCAGTGTGACAGGAGGCGGAGCTCAGGAGTACTGGGAGTGCTGGGGAGCAGTTGTAGCCACTGCTTACCTCCTGCTATGTGATCTGGTTCCCAACAGGCCATGGACTGGTACTGGACCATGGCCCGGAGGTTGAGGATCTCTGCTATAGGTGAAGGCAGTGACCAGTAAGCCAGGTGGCAAGCCCATCCAAAGTGAGGAAACTTTGCTAAGATCTAAGACATTTCATTTTCTTTTCAGACTCGGGTATTATAAACCAAGGCAAATAAAATTCACTTCTTTAGACCTTCACTGGTCATTCATATTTTGGAATGAAACTACTTTTTATTGTGGCACCAAACAAAAGCATGCACACAGAGTTTTATTTCTTTGTCACTGTTGCTTTGCGGATCAACCAAAGGTAATTTCCATTCAAAGTAACCAACTTCTCACAGAAAAAGCTGAGGAGGTGGCAGAAAATTGAGAACTGCTCTACGTGAGCCTTTCTGTAGGTGAGCAGAGCGCCTGAGTACGCATCCACAGGTTTCCACATCCGCACACACCTCTCACTCCTTCAAGTGGCAGACGTGAATATGTCCATTAACACAACTCAAAGATATGACCAAGGCCGGGTGCAGTGGCTCACGCCTGTAATCCTAGCACTTTGGGAGGCCAAGGTGGGTGGATCACATGAGGTCAGAAGTTCAAGACCAGCCTGGACATCATGGAGAAACCCCATCTTTAAAAGAAAAACCAAAAAACAAAAACACATTAGAATAGAATAGAACAGAACAGAATAGAATAAAATAGAATTGAACGAATGAATGAATGAGTGATTATTCGGGAACAAAGGGAAAAAAAGGTGGTGACACCAACCTATGCTTCTCACCTTTCGAGGCAGCAATGATGCTACAAATTACGTGTAATTTCTTGGCCAGGCGCGGTGGCTCACGCCTATAATCCCAGCACTTTGGAAGGCCAAGGCGGGTGGATCACGAGGTCAAGAGATTGAGACCATTCTGGTCAACAAGGTGAAACCCTGTCTCTACTAAAAATACAAAAATTAGCTGGGAATGATGGTGTGCATCTGTAGTCCCAGCTACTCAGGAGGCTGAGGCAGGAGAATTGCTTGAACCCAGGAGGCGGAGGTTGCGGTGAGCCAAGATCATGCCATTGCACTCCAGTCTGGGTAACAACAGTGAAACTCCGTCTCCAAAAAAAAAAGATACAACCTTTCTGTAGAATATAAAAATAAGAAGCAAAAGTGGATAAGCCTAAAAGTATGCTTAGCAATCCATGTTTTAGTGATTTATCTTAGTTTATCTAGGTATCTGATGATTATCTGTTCATTAACTCCATTCAGTGTCAGGTTCTGAGTTATCTACAGATTCCAGGTCCTTAGTTATAGACAGGTCTTGGAAATTTATTGAATTGGATATATCCTACTACAGAACATAGGCTTATGGGACAGGTGTGTCTAAATAGTGATTCACTTTAGAGTAATACTAATATTCAGTTTTCATAATGGTGACATAGTAGTAGACTAATGCTATCTTTTTGATAAACTATTTAAGAAGACCAGATTGTTCTCTTCATGAAAGAGTCAACCAAATACGCAACTGAATTATCATTAACTCTGTAAATCAAAGAAAAGACCTACCTGTTTTTTAAAAAAAAACCAAAAAACCAAATTATTAAGCTAGTGTGACTTGCCACAGATTTATCTTAGTTACCGGAACTTGGATTTACAAAATATATTTAAGGTAGCAGTTTCTGTATGAAGGATATTTTTAAAAGCCTAACATTGAAAACACTAGAAGCTAGAAATGTGAGATATATAAGATATATAAGTGCTTTTTTTCCTATAATCTAATAAGAACAGAGCTCTTTTGATTTAAGAGACGTAACATATTAATCTATTTCACACTCACATATTGAAGGATCAAGGCTTTTCTTGGTTATAAACTCACAGACACATGAATCACAGATCACAGACGCATGGAGAGATTTTGGCTTTGGCCCTGCAACTTCAACCACAGGCCAGAAGTAAGCAACACACCCTCTTACCAATTCCAAGTCTCAAAGAGTATGCTCTGCAGTGGGCACTAGTGTTCTAACTGACTGGAGCTCAAAACTAACAAACAAGAAAGGACCAGAAAACTGGATTTTCTGTTGTCCGTCACTCAGAATGAACCAGATCTATGTCATCTGTCTACAGAGATGACTAAATGGTCAGACCACACACCAAACTCTCAATCACTGTTGTCGAGAATAGGGAATAACTTATAGTCAGGAATAAACCAGAAATAAAACCACAAACACAAATCCAGTAAAGATTAGACAATAAAACTAGAGAAACAGAGAGTGAGTAAAATTACAGTTCTGTGGCTGCTTGGAAGTCAGCCTGGGAGATGAGGGCGGACAGAGCTGACGGCATCAGAAGTGCCCTGTGCAGCTCATCCGGCTCTGGCTGGTCAATCCACTGTGTATCTCATGGGACCTCTCAAACTGCTGGAGGGTCATTTCCAAAAAGGTAGAATCGTGACCCCCCTATAAATATAGAATGGATGCATGTCAAAGACTTTATTTAACTAGTAGTTAACAAGAGAGCCTGTTCAAATATTTATCTTTTCCGTTGGATAAAACTCATCTGAGTTGTTGTGAACACCTTTTGCGTTACCATCGACAGAAAATTCCTGCATCACCTTCAGCCCTCCACAAGTTAGCTTCTGTCCCTACAGCGCTGCCAAATGGCCCAACTAAACAGAGTTGCTCACTCCCATAGAATCAGACAATTCCTGGAAGGTCCACTAGATAACAGCCGAAATGCCATGGAGAGGATCTCTGCCATCTTTTTTTCTCCATTACAAAGTCTTTTTCCCAAGACAAGGATGTTAGAAGCGCATTGGTCACCAAGCAGAGGCCAGTGACTAGGGTGGCAGCTGCTTAGCTATTTTTTTTCAGACAGGCAGGTGCTGTCTCTCTGGGGTGTTGTCCAGAGTGGGTTGAATCCCTGGCTCCTCTGAGTTGACCTCTTTCTTTCTGGGGAAAGAGAATAAAAGTGTTGGTGAGAGTGGGGTCAGAGAGGGACATCACCTGAGGGCACAGGCTTGCAGTGTCCTGCAGGAACGTACACTTGGTTTTTCTATTTCCCTAGTTTTTTTAAGTTGCCTTGAATGTGTTGGGGGAGTTGGCACAGAATTGAATACTATAATAATTTTAAAAAACGAATATGCTTTTTTTCTTATTGTAGAAGTGATTTTAAAAGTTCTCAACAAACAAAACTGCACAGGCAGTGACAATCAAGCTCTAGCACTGACCAATAAAAATTGATGTGAATTGTGAGGACGTTTGCTCAAGTCGGCTAGTCTGTTTCCTTTGTGTGAATTTCAGCTTGCTGCTTCCAGGAAAACCAGAAAATGCGCCAAGTGAAGACAGCCTCAGTTAATACCTCCTATATGTTCTTTGAAGTCTATTGACTATATTTTGCTATATATTTTAAAATATGGATTAACATTTACCCGCTGTTTTGCAATTAAAATTAAGTGTGGTGTATCAGTCACGTGCATTCCTGAAACCACTCTCTTCAGGCTGATCGCCTTCTATGTGCCCTGTGGATCTCTCTTCTCTCGTTGTCCACTCTTCTGCTGTTTCCAGTTT